TTGGAGCTATTTCTTTTATTATCATTATCACCGCACAGATACTGAAATACATCTGATCTATTTATTTTCGTCTCGATCCTCACCCTACTCCAACTTGATTTCTGGAGTTCTAATTGATTCTGGGTACAAAACATTACGTACACCAGGAATGTCCACGATCTTCTTGTTGAGTGCATTTTCCTCTGACGTACCAGCTTTGGTCATGAACAGTAATCGGCTCAACCACTCAATCAACTCCGGACAAAACACTTTCCAAAGGTATGTCATTTTAATCCACGATGGCTCCGTCACGTATCTCTGTTTCCGGCACACGCCGTTCACGATCCCCTTGGCACATCCTGATGCGGATGTTACTGGAAATACTCCTATTTGAACCTAATTTTGCAAACGAGCATTCAATAACAGACACAACACATTGTTCAACAATATCTTTTGAAGGGGTTAAATATAACATACATCTCTGATGTCTTGGTTGACTACCAACTCCCCTTCACCAGAGAAATATTTGCCTTGTGTGAGTTCGGATTCGATATAACCAGGTGTGACGATTGTAATATGTACATCACCACCAAGCTCAATCCTCATCGTCTCAAAGAAGCTCAACAAAGCTGCTTTGCTTGCCTGATTAACATATTTTGTGCAAGACGGTTAGCCAGACCTTCGGTCCGACTTTACTAAGAGAGTCAAGTGCATATATATTGACTTACATTGTAAAAACTCATCCTTGGAGCGGTTAGCCAAGCTGCAGAGGACGACATAGCCACAATCTTACCATTGCTTTGTCGAAGGTACGGAAGCGCAGCACGAGTTGTATAAACCGATCCCCAAAAGTTAGTATCCTAATAATTCACAAACATTCAATAAAGATAAATTTACTATCTAAACTAAAGGGTTGGCTTATGAACCACAATGATTATAAGATTACCATAACTGCTTTTGTCCTGCTTATCTCTTCAATGTTCTCAAACATCGAAATTTGTATTATCCCAGCGTTGTTGACCAAATGATCCACTGCAAGACCAAATCAAATAATCAATGATTCACCTAATTATGTTTTGAATGATAAAAGTAACCGAAAAAGACCAAACGGACTAATACACTTTCATGTTCATTCTAGATTTATCAACTTGATTTTTTGTCAAACTTCTACGTAAAAAAACTTGTCTGAAAATGGTAATTAAAAAGGGGTCGGTTTGATCAAGTAGGTCTCACTTCTGCCAAAATGGGAGATGGTGTCATCGACGACTTTTCTACAATCGTTAGGCTTGGAGACATCAGCATGAATGGTGATAACATTAGGAGATCCCAATTCACGGGCAATCTCTGCTACTTCCTCCAAACGGTTCTTCCTACGGGCGGTCAGGGCCAAACATGCACCTCTACTCCCGTACTCATATGCCAATTGCTGCTTATATTACACATTATATATCAATAATTAATTCATTTCTAGAGCAATAACAAGTCGATGAACGTCTCGAACGTTATAAACACCAAATTTATATTTTGTTAAAAAATGTTACTGTAAGTAGCAAAAGTATCATGTCTATAAAAACATTTGAATTAATATTTCACAGTTTAAGAAAATATAAGTTATATTTGCACATTAATTACGAATAACAATTTTTATTTTTGTTTAAGATGTTCCAAAATTATGAGTTTCTTAAGAAAAAAACCATGCACTAAAATTTTGTAAGTATGATGATAACAAACAATTGAAACCAACTTGTAAATACAGACAATAATACAACCTCGCCTATGCCGGAGGAAGCGCCAGTGATGAGAACCACTTTCCCGTAAAGATTTTCCGAGAAAATGGTCGAGAAAATAGATTGCAAGAACTTGAAGAAATAAAAAGGAGGCAAGAAGAAGCAGAGACCAAAGAAGGTGAAGAAAGGCGCAGTTAGATTGAGGAAATCATTTATCAACTCCATTGTCGATCAAAACACAATACACATAAATGGTATTAACACTCAACATTAATACTCTTCTGCGTTATATAAATACAACTCCAAAATCAAGTTGAATTTGGATGAGACGAGGAGAGAGAAGACACGAAGATCAGGTGGGTGTAGTGTGGCAACATTGCATGGCAACGACACGACACGTTGTCTCAAGATGTGGAAAACGCACGTCGAATCCTCATTCTTATTTTCTTTATCTTCTCAATAGATAAGATCAATCTTCATTCCACCATCTTATTGTCGTTTCCGGAAACAACTTATGTATTTTGTGTTAGTACTCAATATATTCATCATTACGATATATTAGTCTTAAATAATATTATAAAAAATTAGAATTTGGTTCCACGTCAAACATAAAATTAAATTATTTAAAATATAAAAAATCATATTTTTTAAATATACATGATAAATTATAAATAATAAAAATTAAATAATATATCTTTCACATAGATAAATATATTTTATTTTATAAAATTTAATATGTATGATATTCAAATTAAATGTAAATATTTTTAATATAAATCAAATATGTTTAAGATTATGTACTCTCTCAAACTTATTTGAGTTCACCATACCTAAAACAATATCAAATTAGTATGTAAATTTTCTT